ATCTTACATGCTCTCTCCAGCCCAACCCCTAAGGCAACTGGTTTGTGGAGGATAACTAGACAAAACTAATTTTGTGGAAAGACTATCAATAGCATTTCAACAGCTTAAGGATTCAAACTGGTCCAGAGGAGGCTCAGATGAGCTTCAGCAGTGGAGCACAGGGTATGTTCACCCCACATGGCAGGGAATATACAGCATAGCTGCTGGCAGGAACAGAGCTGTTGAGTTGGTTTTACCACAACCACCCTCACTGGTATTGAGCTCTGTAAACAGAGCTTCCAACCCTCAACAGTTCAAGCAACTGCAGTTAAAAACTTGGCTATTTAATACTTGCCATGATGACTGATCCACCAACAATATTTAAAACCACCACAGATTCTTAAAGCTACCAATGCAAAGCAAGATTGAGACTTCTTAACATGCTAGAATTGTGTTAGTTACAACACACTTATGGTAGAATGAAGAGGACTGAGCCTCCAACAGGCTTTGTGCTTCATGACAACAGATCCAGATACTCACTGGCACCTCAAAGGTTTTGCATTGGGTCTTGACCAACACCAAGTACAAAAGGTACCACACCATGGTACCTGAATGCCTTTGCAGATCAATGATAACCACATTTGCAACACTATTTTTGGGAAGCAACCGCAACATGTTACACATGTACAGACCATAACTTGCTTTCTAGGGGTTGTTAAGTCAGGCTCAGCAAACTGTATCAGCATGTGCTGCAGTGTCAGGGCTGCAGCAGGTCTTACCTGGACACGATGCTGGAGCCATTGTAGAGGTCACTAGCATAAGACAATGTTGCCAGGGGTCGGACAGAATTGTAGCGTGTGAACTTGGACAGACACTCCTGAAACTCATCCAGCTGGCTTGTGGTTCTGCTGTCATCTAGGGAGAGGCAGCAGCATTCAGGAGGAAAGAAAGAGTGAGATAAATTCAACTGCAAACAAAAACAAAAATCAAAATGATACCAACTATTCTTTATTATCTAGAGGATTCTTGGTCAAAAACTGGTTCTCTCACCTCCCTCAAGAAAGCAGGATTTTTCAGAGCACAAATCAGGTCTCTCCACTGCAATGCTGGGTGAACCTACTTTGCTGACAATCTGCCTGGAGATCACAAATACAGCTTTCCTGGTAAGCTAATTTATTTTATTCAATTTCAAAGCCCATAGGCCATATAGATTATTAACAGAAAAACCTTCAAGCATACCAACAAGCACTGTGAAGAACTTCTCTACTTTTCTATGGAGGTGAATGTATATTCCTTTCCCTGTATTTCTGTTACAATATGCCTGTGTTTGGTGTCAATTACATTCAAAATGTTTTTATTCAAAAATATTTGTCTTGTTACTTCAAAAGCAACACAGCTATGGGAGAGTTGTTTCAGGGCTGGAGAAGGAAGACAAGCATGAAACCAGATGACTTCCTGTACTGTAAGTTTTGCGAAAACTATGACCTTCAGCAGACAAGGTGAACTTGAGCCAGCTTGAATAATGATGATAAACATTCTACGGGAAATGGAATAGTTTACTAAAAAGGTTAAAACTAAATTGCAGTGTAGATAGCTGAAAGGCATTCCCCAGTTCCTCAGAGGTTCCAGGTTTTCTCAGTATGAAGGGAATTTTTAGGCAAACAATTAAAAAAATTGGTATTTCCTAAATAAGGCAGAATTCCTAACTTAGTGATGCCACATGGGCAAGGCAGCCTTCCTAACAATCACACACCCAGTCCAACATCAGGAGGAGTCTTCAGGCTTTGTAACAACCTCCAGAATTAGCAGCAATTCTCTTTCCTCATAGAATGGTTTGGGTTGGAAGGGACCTGAAAGATCATCCAGTTCCAACCCCTCTGCCATGGGCAGGGACACCTCCCACTAGACCAGGTTGCTCTGAGCCCCAACCAAACACTTCCAGGGAGGAGGCAACTACAACCTCCCCAGGCAACCTCCTCCAACTCTCCCACGTTCCCTTTTGTCTTTGTGCCAGTGCAATGTAAGGGAACTGCATGTAGTATCTCAGTTCACAGTTCAGTATGCAGGTCACAGAACTGCCCACCTTGGCTCCTGTTAAACCACAGCACCCACTGCAGCAATGGAGAAACCATGACCAGGACTCACTTACACAGCTGAGATCACAAATTCCACCTGCTAGTTAAGTTAGCCTTAACTATTTCCTTATCAGCAGCATAAGGAAAACAAAGCTCCACGAAAGTAGTTTTGAAAATATTGGGGTGAAAAAATCTTGATCTGTAAAAGCAAAATACAGCCATGATTTCTTGTAGGAAAACAGAAAGAATAATCACTTTCTGCAATTCCTTGCCATCAGAAATCATCACCTTGCTCTACACTTTTAAGGCAATTTGAAGCACCCCTTATATGCTATTTAATGTTTGATCATATAAAGGAACAGTGAGGGCTAGTAATTAGCATATTGAAGAGTGCCAGCCTTTAAGAGTGCCAGCCTATATGTTACTCACAACAGATGGATCAAAAGGGGCAACATGAACAGAGTACTACACCAAATTAAAATCTTCAGCCCCCTTGACCACTACAGGAAGCAGCTTGAGAAGCAGCACAAACACCAGGCAAGTGTTTTTCAAAGACCATTTCCTCCTCTGACACTTTGATAGGAACAAAGAGCAGCTTCTCTTCCATTTCCCTCAGAGATCAAGCACACACTCCTCCTATAATTTATTCTCTATCTGTGCTTGGAAAACTGAATGTTATTTCTCAAGACATTTTCCCCATCAAAGTGCAAGGGCATTTCATAATTACAGTTATGGTACATCTCCACTCCCTACAACACCAGTCACAGGCATCTCCAGCAAAAAGCTTGAAATCCGCACTAAATCCTATTTAAAATGTGTCAAAAAGTTTTTAATGACTTAAGAAAACTTAATCAAGTATCACAGGTTATTCTTCATTTAAGAAAAAACCCACTCTTGCATATCCCTGCAACTCCTGGTGCAGCTGGCATATGAATAAAAGAAGAAGTTTCCCCACATTCATATTTATGGCTGTAATTATGGAGAAAGATGTCTTTTAGACAGGAATGCCTGAAGAGCTCCATTTGTTAACCTTGGTTAATAGGCATTATTTTAACATAAACACAGTTTTACATCACCAAGTTGGTACCACATGAAGACATCTCAGTGTGCTCTGTGAAGTACTGTAGCCTGCAAAGCAGTTGCTGGCACTGGACAGGGAACTGGTTGGTCACATACAGCCAGTTTCTGCCACCTTCCAGCTGCTGAAGCACCCTTTCTGTGTGCTGCACTCCTTGTTACTTTGCTGTGCATGATGAGACCTGAGTAAGTCACTGCTCTGAAGCAGGTTAATGATGTTGACATACGCAAGAGTGAGCTCCCCTAAAACATGCTGCAGCCTTTAAATTTGAAAAAAAGGAAGCAAACCAAGCCTCATTTTTTTTATTTTTAAAGTAGATAAACTAAATTAATGGAGGAAAAAGTGAGTTTCTACCCTAGCTTCCTTGCTGATCTCTGTTGTGGGAGGTCCCTTGCCTTCTGAGCCTACAACAAAGCTATTCTGCTGCAGCAACCTCTACCTGCTGCCCTCTTGCTCCTGGAAGGCTTTTCCCACCCCCCTCAGGGCTGGCTGCTCCCTACCAGATCTGCAGCTCACAGTTGGTGCTGCAAGTCTCCTGCCTGCCACAGCCCACTGCCTGAAGCTTTTTCCTAAAATGGTTTCTTCCCCAGAGGGGCCAGAGAGCAACAACCCTCCTCACCCTCCAGACTTTCATGTTTGTTTCTTAAGAGAATCTTGTTGTTAATTAAGAACCATCCATCCACTAGGTAACAATTATTCTAGCTGCTGTCACACTCTTACTCAATTACAAATGAGGCAATCTAGGTGATTGTGAAAACAGCTTCTAAATCTTCAAAACAAGCCTGAAATCCAAGGAGTGCCCCATGGGACAACAATACTGCTGCACACTCAGCTTCTATACCCCAAACCATTTGTTAACCAAGACTTAATCTAGAAAACAAAGGATAACCTCTCACAGTACTGGATGACAAAGCAACACATGTGACCCTCCAAAGTGATAGGATTAAACTTTCAAAATTTAGCTACTTCTGGCCAAGAGAAGCAAAACAGGATGACTGGAATAACACAAACATGTACAACAACTTTCTTATGCCAGATAGCAGTGAAAGCTGGTGTCTCCAAAGTGAGCCTTTTCTCAGAACTAGGCATTGTAAGAGAAGACCCATGTCAGAGGCTGAACACCATGCAAGTGGAATGTCCTGGTTTAAGCCAGGATGAAGCCAATTTTCCTTCTCCTGATTTGTTTTCCTTCAGTAAGCTTTCTTTTAACTAGTCACAGAGCCTTCCAACTAAAGCTGATAAGAGAAGAATGTTTTTCTAACTGCTGGGGCTTCAAGGTCCTTTACTCTTCACTCTGACAGCTCAGACACTATCGGGAGATCTATGACCCCCCTGTAGGAGGCTGAGTTAGACAGACAGCAAAATTGGCCAGAGATATTCCATTCCATATATCTACATAAGCTCAGAGGAAGGTCAGAGATCACAGAAGACAACTTCCTTCCTTCATCACTTCTCTTCATGGCAGGCATCCAGGAAGGACTCTGTCCATCCATCACCACCAACCCCCAGGTTCCAGCTCTCCTGACCATCATCACTCTGTGCTCTCTCCAGCAGCTCCAGAATTTCTTGGGACTGTTCCAGCTCAGGAGATGCTGTGGGAGTTGCTGGGGGTGGGGGGGAGGCGAGAGGCTTTTGCACATACCTGAACATATTTGTATGTAATTGTATATCATTAATATTTAATTAAAGCTGTGTAGTTTCGATTTTAATCCAGCCAAGTCTCTCTTTTTCTCTCTCTCCTTCCCTACCTGGGTGTGAGGGGGAGCATTGTTGTGAGGGAGAGCGTTGTTGTCAAACCTGAGTCCAACAGTGCCAAGGAACTCACCCGAAACACGTGTCATCCTGGTGGAAAAATAGCACTGCTCTAGGTCCTCAAAATGAGCCGTGAGCCGCTTGCGTCGTGAGGCCAGAGTGCTGTTGTACCATGGCTGCTTTTTGGTCTATGTGGAGAAGAGAGAATACTTGAGAAAGGTGAAGCCAGGCCTGGGTTTCATTTCTATAGATTTTACTGAATTATGAACACTCTTTGTTTTATATATGGAGGCTTTGGAGCGTAAAATAATGATAAATTAACATCTTGCCACTATTGACAGCTGTTCTTAGGATGCTATATGCTGTGCCATTGAAGTTGACAAACAAGAAAAGCTGCTTTTAGTCACTTCTTGTCTCCTTAGTCTCTGCAAATTTACCAATTCCAGCCTCACCCACAGGACAGACAGCAGCAACCCATGGAGACTGATATCTTGCATTTGTACAGACAGAGGCCAAGGACACTGGGCTTCCAGCTTCACAAATCAAACCATAAATCCTTCATAAATCCCTGGCAGACAGCTTATCAAAAATATAGAAGGGAGTGCTTATGTTAAAGAGTTACTGAATTATTTCCTTAGTAACTCTCTGTAAAGCCATGCAAATAAGGGTAGAGGCAGAAGACACCATCAGGTTCAAAGGTTAATTGAAAATGAGTTAATGAAACTCATCATGAAAGCTATTTCCCAACCTGACAAGTAAAACTGAGAGGTAGAAGCAAAGAATTGAAACTACTTAAGCCCTCCTCCTAAAGAAACAGAAAATACAGTACTTCTTTTTAATCACTAGGAAGGAAAAGGAGACAATTCCTTTACCACACAAGCAGCATGAGGAGTTTTAATTGCTTGCATTAGTTTATATTTTCAAAGTCTCACATATTGTCTACTCAAAACTCCCTGATGACATTCTTGACCAAGTTCTGTAATGCCACTCAAAGGCACTAACAAACCCTCCTCCACATGCAACTTCCCCTCAATCCACCCAGAGCAAGCTGCCTTTGTTACAGCCATCAGTAGCAAACTAAGTTTAGAGTCTGCTCAAATTTTCTTTATACCTGTAAATCTAACTTTTTGGAAAAGGCAAGCCCCAAGCAACAACACCTCCAGATCCTGCTTCTTGTGCAAGGCCCTCAGCTCTACACTGATGTCATGACTCACAGTGACAGCACCCACACTCTGCACCCCTTATTTCATCTGAAAAGCAACTCCAGCCTCAAAACATAACACCAGAAAGTACTCTTGCCTCAACACTTTTTAACTAGTTTCCTACAACATCACTGTTTTAATGAAATACTTAACACTTTTACAGCATCTTCCAATTAATTCTGAGCACCAGCCTGAAAGGGCTCCAGCCCCACTCAGCACATCAGGAGTGATTAAGGCTCAAAACAACTTCAAGTGACAAAGAGCAATGACTGCAGTGTCAAGTTATGACAAGCCACCTGTGACATGAGCAATATTAGCCAAGCCCAAGTCTCATCTGCCAGATTAGCCCAGTCCACATTGTGGTGGAATCAATGGCAACTCAGCCCATGCTGCAAATCAACCCACAGTAACCCATCTTCATCAGATCCTCCCCAGCCAAGCATTTTAAACCAAGCACATTTACCAAAACATTCATGGAGCTTCTAGGATGTCTGCTCCCTGATGAAGCAATACTGGGAAACAGTAAAAAAAAAGGAAAGAAAACACACCCAAGCAATTTTTATTTAGCTGCTAAAACTACCATGGCTGTCCTAGCTGAGGACAGCAGTTAGGATTGCTCTGTTATCAAGAGTGATTTTACTGTCTGAACTCCATTACGTGCTCTGAAGGGTCCTCTAACAACTGTGGAAATGCTTCACAGCTACCCACAGGGCTCCTGATTTCTAGCAGAAAAGCACTGCTGCTAAATACTACCTGGAGAACTCCCCAGGGCCTATGTGACTTGTCCACCACCTACTGTACTTCACCATTTACCAGGAAGAAAACTGTCCTGTGGCTTTGCAGTATATAAATTTCTCACTAAGAAAGTGTTCATGAGCAATGCACAAAGTAATTATATTGAGGGGAAACAGGCTGTGCTGTGCATCCTAGCATAGCTTCTTACTGCCAGCAGTGAACCAACTATGATTTTTGCCATGACTGACAGGCAGAAAAAAAGCAAAGTTGAATTTATATTCTTCAAACTGGTTTTATAGCAAAACCTTGCTGAAATTAGACTACCTTTGAATTAAGCATTTAATGTCAAGAATGCCCTTTCAACTCCCCATCCAAACATATATTAAAGTTTAATTTGAAAATTTGCACTAGAGAATACAAATCTTTTACTCTTGAGGGCAAAAAAATTGCATTTCAGGACAAGAAAGATTATTCTCAAACAAATAAGGCTGTCATACAGAATGACTAGTAAGCCTAAGATGTTTGTTTTGTGCACATACCAGCAGTATAGTTATGCTATTAATTTAGTCTTTGAAATATCAAGAATAAAGAGATGAGCAGTGTCAGTAGAGAACACACACCATACCATATCAGAGTCCTGAACACAAGATCTCCAACCACATTTCATTTGCCCCCTGGGGTGAGACAGAGCTACAGTTCTTTGTTCAAGCAAACATCTCCCAGACCAGCAGCAGGAACAAGCCTTTTCCCACAGATTAGAGTGAAATTTCTAATTACCCATTAGTTATATAGCTACCAACCCAAAAACCTGCACAGACAGATACATGCATCAGCCCAAAATCCAGGTGGTTTTTATTTAGCACAATTACTCCATCAAATAAGGTTCAACAGTACTTCTACTACTTTATTTTCCAGTTTGTCACGGCTCTGTGCCATGGATGGTCCAGCAGAGAGCACCAAAGGCACAAGCTGGCATGTAACCAACAATCTGTCAGTCCAAATCTAAACTGCTTAACCTTTTTGGAGCTGTGATCTGGGTACCAGTGTCAAATTCCTAGCCCAGCTGAATCATTTCTGAGCTGCAAGACTACAGCAGTGCTGCTTGACATTCGGGAGGCCCTGTGGATCAGACAGTTTGGAGGCTGCCTGCCAAACTGTTTCACTGTAAATACAACTTTTTATCCTCTATATGAATTTATAACACAGTTTGCAAGGCCCTAAACAAGGACAAACTACAAAACAGCTGTGTGCTTGGAGAATGAGTTTCTTGTTTTGAAAGTCAAAGTTGATCCAAAGCTATTTAAGTCAATGCAAAGTGTCAGGGATTTACCTCCCTTCCCAAATGCTGCCCACTTGGGAGAAGAGATGAAAAGCAAAAAATATCCCCTTTTCTGTGGATGAGTCAGCTTTGGGAATGAAATCAGATGTCTAAATATATTACACTAGATTTCTTTGATGGTGTCAGTGTGGACGCTTACAATCACGCACAGTCATTTCTACAGCTGTACTCCTGGCTCCAGTTTGCCTACATAACCAGTTAAAAGCATCTGCAAGACTGGAGCTGACTGGTGGCCTGGAGATGGATGGAGTTGTGCCTGATCTCTGCCCAGCCCCCACAATGACCCTCCCAGCACCCCTGTGCACAGCCACATGTATTACCTTACCTGAGAAGGGCCACTGAAGCCTGGGGACTGGCTGTACTCCGTGGAGTCAATAATACTACTGCAAAACCAAAAGAAATTATCTGCTTATATCACTGTACAACCACCCTTGATCATTTTTAACCTGTTTGCTATTCCCCCCTTTACATCCTGCAGCATACTTGCCTTTGAAATACATTTTACAGACAGGGAACACAAGGTTATTTTTGGTTTGGGAAGGATTTAAAAATATTTTTAAATACAGGGATCTCCTGGAGCAGAATGATGTTGCACACAATTATGTGCACTGTGGTCTAATTTTTAATTAGAATGCAAAAGCACATCTTTTGAATGAAATTTGCAGGATAAGACCTTCTGAAAATAACATGCTCTTACTGATTTTCAGTTCCGTTAAAAAAATAAGGACCATGACATTTAGAGCAGCACTGTAAAGAGAAAAGCTAGAGAAATCAGCTTAAGACAGACACTAGTATTCCAGGCATCTGCAAAGACATAGAAAATAGACTCAAGTAAAATCCTGACAGCTAGCACTATTATTATCAGAAAATGCTACACTGCATATGGGTACATAGTATCTATAACACCACCACATACCATAAATGACTGCTTTCAAAACATGTAACACACATGCAAACTTAAAGAGATTTAACTCTCAGAACTGTGAAAGGATCTCCTGATAAACGCAAAGGCAGCTGGTTCAGTTTCTTGCCCACACAGGTAAATCTAGCTGTGGCCACAACACCAGAGCCAGATTAGAGCACCCTTATGACTCAAATTCAAAATACTTTTAGGACAAGTCATGATTAGCACACAAGAACACCATTTTATGAATGATGGTGAGCACATTACAAACATCAGCATTATTTGTTTTTAAAAACCTTTATCAATCACTTGCTTCTGCTATACCAGCTGGCTTGGACAAAAAAGAAATTATCTGGGTTTGTTACTCAGTCTTGGTTAGGAGGTAACCTTGGGTTTAGGTGTTGCCTGGGTAAGCTGAAGGTTTCTTTAAAAGTGTTGCCAGAACAGCACTGTAGGTGCTGGCTTTGTAAAAGATGATTGTACATGTTGATGTTTATGTAATAGCTGCCAGAACTGATGGGTAGACTTGACATTCTTGGTCATAAAACAAGTGATTTGGCTGAAACACCCATCAGGGCACCTGCAAGTCTAGAAGAATGAAACAGTGGTCTAGCACTTCAATATTTATCTGAATGTTTTAAAGCTCCCCTGAAGGTAGAGGGAAGTGAAAACAAAAGACAAGAGAGGATTTTAAAGTCTCACTAATGGTTAACTTGTAAGATGAGATTGATTTGACTTCTGTTACAGGCAAGACAAAAGCTGCAAACCAAGAAAATCTGAGGGATAAAAATCATTATTTGCTGTGAGCTACTGCAAGGGAGAAAACAGCAGAGCTGTTTCAGGCATGGTTAGGGACAATGAACTTCAAATTAGAACGTGGCCACATGAAGTAATGAGACAGCAAGCAGATCCTGCCAGAAACAGCATGAATGAGACACTTGTCTTAAGAGTGATGAAAAAAATACTCTACTCTGAGACAGGTATAGTGGCAATGAACAGCAAAACGTACAGAATTAGAGTGTCTGGTCTTGTTTTGCTGTGGGTTGTCTGGGGAGGTAAAGCCTTCAAGAGTGCAGACATCATTCCCCTAACCAGAATATAAATTCAAAGTCATTTCTGTGCAGGGCCTGTAGCTGAGTTAACTGGCATTTGCTCCAATGTTTTTCCTTTTAAAAACAGGACAACTGATAGAAAATTACAAAAGTTCTCTCTGTGTTCTCTTTAAAAAGCTGTAACATTACATTCAGGAAGTTCAGCTACAGTAATACAACATATTCAAAAACCTGGAATAACAACAGCAGCACAACAACCTGCAGGCCAGAAATCCCATTTGTTACACCATTATGGGAGTGGGAAGGGGTAATTAGAACAAATGGAAGGGAAGGAGATCAGGATTTTGATAACTGAATCAGTTACCAGGCAACTCATTTTTAGATCAGAATCCTTCCCCAGAAACTCCTATTAGACTGATAGTTTGTTATTGCAATTGCTGCCTGAATCTGCAGTCACAGAGAAGCTGCTCTTATTTGTATCTCCTGTTTGCACCATTTACTGGTAGCAAAAATAGCCTGTTCAGAAAAACCTACACAGGACAATTTGTTCTCTTGCCTTATTCTTGCCTTCAGTCTCTATTAGCATACAAGCCCAGCAACATGCAGTGCTGTAAACAAGTGCTCTGCTATTACCCAATTTATTATTTCATCATACCCTGTACAAGCATAAGAGAAATCATGTGTTTCTTGCAGCAGAGACATGTTTAACACAGTAGTTGTACTTTTTTGCTTAAGAACTTAAGGAAGATGGGGAGGCATAGTAATTTCACATTTTGAAGATGTTAAAGAGTGTGGGGGGAAAAGCTACAATGAAAAGAAACAATTAATGAAGCAAGGATGGATTTAGAGGAAGTAGGTGAATAAGGGCAAGTCACCAGAGAGCAGATAAAACCAAATTCCAAAGGCTTCTATTTTCTTGAACTTGAAATTGAAAGGGTAAAGAGATTTTCTTCATCTCAGCATGGGTCTATGATAATCTTGTACTATTTGGGACACATCAGTAAAATTTTACACAATTATATTTCATTAGCAGGGTATTAAGCATAGTAACAAGTTACGTGCCAATTTAAAGAGACCATTGTAAATCAGTGATAAGCTAAAAAGACCCTGCAAGTTTAATAACATTCCAACATGGAACTAAAACCATCTCAAACTGTATTTGTACTTCATTCTTACTGGTTCACAGCATCTCTAAAATACACTTTGGAGATTAAACAGTCCAGCTAACAAAAAACCAAACAGCATTTTTCAAAGCTCCTATCAGTTGTCCTGCAGCATTCTTGCAAAGGACAAATCCAAGTTAGTTTATGAGATACTCTCCAAAACTTACAATTAATGTTGAAAAGACAATTAATTTCAAGTGGCAGACCCTTCTGGAATCAGAATTAAAACTAATTCAATTACTTAAAACTACACAAACCTGTCAGGATAGGGCAGGGACCAAAGTGAGATGAGTCCAGCAACAGCTTGTTCTGATGCTTCTTTCACATCCTATTTTCTCTTCAACCCCTCATGCCTATCTCTTAACACAGGAATGTCATTGAGAAACAGAAAAGGGGTCTTCTAAAACCAAGAGAAAAAGGCAACCTCCCATATCTTAAAAAGCCCCTAAACATCCTTATATCACACCCTTGGCATATTGTACCAGAGTAAAAACCTAAAAACTTGAGATACAGCTGAGATGGAACCAGACAAAGAGAAGATGGGCAAGAGACAGTCCATGATCTGTGCTCACTGTTAGTCTGTCCCACCACTATATCCCAGTAGACCCCAGGTGATGAAGCATATCAATCCAAAGTCACTAAAGTGTTTTGGAGACTATTTTATATCTTCAAAAGCAAGACCAGAATGATTGACCCTAGGATGTGAAATAGGCATAAAGGAATAATAAGTTATCAGTCAATTGAGGCCAGTGTAGGTCTCGGCAGGTTTTTTTATTTCCCCTTCCAACTTTTCCCAGAACTCTTGAGTTGACAAGATTAGCTCAGCTTTCAACAGTTGAAGTTCTTCAGGAGCTTACTTGATAGCTTGGCTCAAGTAACAGTGATACATTTCTACTTGTAAATACAATCATCTGGTGAAGGGCCTAGAGAACAAGTCATATGAGGAGTGGCTGAGGGAACTAGGGATGTTTAGTTTAGAGAAGGAGGTGTGGGGAGATCTCATTGCCCTCTACAACTAAGAGGAGGTTGTAGGGAGGTGGGTGTTGAACTCTTCTCCCAAGTGAATAATGACAAACAAGAGGAAGTGGCCTGAAGCTGCAGTAGGGGAAGTTTAGATTTGATATTAGGAAGAATTTCTTTACTGAAGGAGTGGTCAGGTACTGGAACAGTCTGCCCAGAGAGGTGGTTGAGTCACCATCCTTGGAGGTATTCAAGAAATGTGTAGATGTGGCACTTCAGGGCCTGCTCTAGTAGGGAGCAAAACCCATTGTAGGGGTTTTTTGTGGGTGTTATTTGGTGGAGAGTGTGTGGTGTTTTTGTGGGGGGTTTTGGTGTGTGTGGGGATTTGTTTGTTTTGTGTTTTTTTCTTTTTTTGGGTGTTGTGTGCTGTAAGTTTTTGGTTTTTGATTGTTGGACTCTGTGATCTCAGAGGTCTTTTCCAACCATGCCTACTATTCTGTGATTCTGCAACAGAGAAATGTTTCAGGGCCTGAAGCTGTTCAGCATGCAATGAATTCAGTCCACACAGGGCTCACCTTCCTGAAGCAGCAACACCACAAAGCAAACAGCCAGCAATCTATTTAATAGCCAATAACAAAAACTACTACAACTCAACAAGAATCATCTCCACAAAACAGAAATAAGCCCCATCAAAGCCACCTGCACACAAAAATTAGGCAAGCAGTGACAGGTGGAATAACATACTACTCCCATCCATCCTGGCCATATTCCTGTCCTTTCCCTCAGGACCAACTGGAACTTCACAGAAATGCAAGAGATTCTGGTCTATGTGCAGCAATAGCACCCTGGTAAGAATTCCCAGCCAATATTACCAGGCTCCTTAGCAGAGCCCTCCATCTAGATCTCTGCAGGGGAGAAAATCTGATCATTTTTTCTTAGGTATTTTTTAGCTATTAGGTTTAGGGCTGGTAACTGCTGAAAAGGTACCAGTACAATTTTATAAAAGAAGTCGACAGTTCAGAGAATTCTACCATTAGGAAAATACCCTGGGGAGAGGTAGGAGAAATGATAATTTAATAACATAACTTGGTCCTGTGAAATATGAGCTTTCTTACAAAGAAAAAAAACCAGCGCTATAAAGAAGCAGAGCCCTTCAAACCCTGGCACAGGCAACTTGGACACAAGAAGCTTCTACAATTTTTTCATCAAGAAACCAGACTACAGAGCATCACAGACAAAAATCCACATTGAAAAGACATGATTAGAAAGGCATTCCATGAAGCCAAAACAGAGAGAAACAATCAATAAGGCTATATATTTTAAAACTTGATCCCATGAGCCCGTATCTTTCACACCAAGTGGGGAAGCCAGAGGACACAAGCATCATATAAAATTAAGACTTTTCATATGCCAAGCAGAACTGCATAAGGTTCAGAAAAGGCAGAATGTATTTAACAGTGATATTTCATGCCACAGCAAAGGCTTATATGACTCCAGTTACCTAATACTACATTTAAAACCATCAGCTTTCCACAGCATCTTGTTTAGAGGAGATTTTTCCATCCAACTACAGACTCAGGTGGCTTTTCCTTCACTGCTTTATTCACATAAAGTTTACACCAATCAAAACCATATTGTACAGCACTCAAAAATGAGTTTAGCTTGTGTTTCAGGCATGGCATGGAAAGGACTAGCAAGTACAACACAACATGTACAGCTTGAAACTTACATTCTAAGTTGCAAGCTCCGTACCTGTGTGAAGGTGAGGGAGCCTCAAACTGTGGCACTGTGCTGTCCTCACTGACTGGGGAGTACAAACCACTCATTTCCTGAAACAGAAAGCCATGTTACAGCAAAGTTAACAAGCCATTAATTAGTAGGCAATTTCTAATATACAGTGTCCACATAGCAATTTTTTGGTTTTCCAAGCAGAGGATCAACTGTATTTGTCTATTCAATACTCACCTAGAAGTCTTCGCTGTATCTGAAGAAACATTGATTTTTCTTTGCTGAAATCCTACAACTGCAGTGCTTTTTGCCCCAGAAGAGGCTGTTCTGGAGCTTATACTCAAAAAAGCAGCAGTGGATTTGGTTGGCATCCAAGTGTCTCAAACCCAGCACCTCCCTTAAACAGGGCAGAACAAGCAAGGTATAACTGTGTTTGAGATACATGCAAACTTATTTAACAGCCTTCACAACTGGAAGGTAATGCTGAATATGGGTCGAGGCAAGAGCAAACACAAGACAAGGCAAAGGTGGTATCATGTCCCAGACTTAAAAGAGGCTGTCAGTCTTCTGTGGGGAAGTGGACAAGAGACAAACTTTGCACATCAACTTAGCTTTGTCACTGCCAGGCTAAATCACTGCTGTGTACCCAGTGTGAGACTGTACCTTTCATCTCAGAAATGGAAGCTATGCAGGGTGCTGCAGCTCATTAGTTCCAGGGGCAAAATGTTCCAGGACAACATTACTGGTGCTTTTCATACTCCCACTAGAGTGCCCATTATTTTTTAGGTAGAAAGTAAGATATTGTGATGAGAGAGATCCCAGGCTTTAGAGGTCAGAACCAAGACCACTATCACACACCAGATACCTACCCAGCTGCAGTCCACTGAAGTGCCTGATTAAAAAAGCAGAGAAACTGGGAGCTAAATATTCCCTGAGGGATCCTGCAGTTTTGGGAACAGCTTCTCCTAGATCTGAAGTCTTACTTCACCAGTTTTGAGGAAACACATTATGGTCTATTTATCTCCCAAGAGCCAAGAACCATTCAGGGAAATAGGTCTGAAAACTGCTGTTATCTACCAAGTTACAATTTGCATAGCTATCAGTTGAAGGGAAGTTCCTTGTCAGTTGTACTTATATTTTGATAATTCATCAGCACGCATACAAATTGGAAGGGAAGACACCTAAAAGGTTTCAGGACTATGGTTGGGAAATCATGCTGACTGCTCCAGACAAGCAAGAGATGCAGACCTGCAAACTGATTCCCAAGAAGCTTAAAGGGACCACTATTTAGAAAAAAAGGTGGCAGTACAATGCATTTCTGAAACATCAGGTTCCTACTTTATAACACTAGAATGATTAGAGGAAAGGACCAAGAAAAACCCTTAGGGCTCAAGAATAGTAAGACTGAACTGAAGGGTTTACTTGGCAAGTAATACTTAAAATCTCAAGAGAACCCCATCATTAAGGAATTAAAATAATTAAATGAGGAGGTAGCAGATTGCTTCTGTTTTGACATGCAGCAGGAGCTGGTTCTGCTCCTACCCAGTCTGTGTACCACAGCTCCCTTGTGCACACTCCCCTCCCTCTATTTTAAGAGTGGTGTGCTGCTACAACTTGAACAGCCTGTGCAAACACCCAGAACACTGCAACATACAAAAATCATTATGATCAATAGACTGGCTGTTGATTTCTAGCAGTTATTCTAAAATACTTACTACCAACACAAAGCAAGTGAAATACATGATTAGTTAAAGAGTTAGGTTTCAACAAAGCTACCCCTTGACAACCTGCAGCTTGCACATATCAACTAAATGAACAAATTAAAGGAAGAGCATCATCTGTTCATTTTCCCATTACTGACTCAAATGCCATAAATTTAACACAGCAGCCCCACAAGCAAGGCAGGCAGCTTGATGAAAATGAAAAATTGCCAGAGTCAGAACAATGTCTGGGCATCTCACCTCTACTCGTTTAATATCTTCTTCCAGAACACTTAGCTCCTTCTGGATTTGCTCCAATTGCTGTGGATAAGAGAACAGGAGAAGTCTCAATCAATCTGCACTGCACCACCACCAAGATAAATCACTATTTTTTTTTTTAAAAGATGAACCTGAACTGTCTGAACTGGCATGCTATGTGACTCCAAAGTCACTATGCAGGAAGCCCATATGCATAAATTAACATCAGTGTGCATACAAACCACATTCAAGACAAAGTTGTTATTGTCAGTGCAGAATGAGAGCATGTATCTTGATATCCATCACAAAGAGACCCACATCACTCAAAGTAACACTATTTATGCACTAACATCTTCCAGGCAAGGTATTCATAACTGGCTTACCAGCACCGAACATCATTAGAAAAGAGACACCATGGAAGACAATGACCCTTCAACAGAAGAAAAAATATGTTGCTAAAAGTTATTTCTTTTGCTAGAAGCTAACCTACCATTTGCCAATTTAAATTAATTGATAATTTTTTTGCATTGGCAAAAAAACAGTTCTGCTCCTGGCACCAAGCAAATGCCACAAGATATTTATTTCAAAGGTGTGGTACTTACCTTGGATTATAGTGCAAACTCCAGGCAATGTCAGGACAAACCCCAAAAGGGTCAAAAGGGAACTTTCCCCTCTCACCAGCCAACATCCCCTTTCCCTTCTGTGTCACATGTTATATTTTTCAGGTTTTTGCAGTTACTTTTCAGTCAGTAACCTGGCTTCACTCATGACTAGTGGCTGTGAAGCCAAAGACCTGGTGACTGTTTAACCCTAAGAACATCATCTGCTTACCAGCCCTAATCCCCACCCTCCTTCAGCAGACATGTCCCATCCCCACAACTGCAGTGCTCTGGGTGAGAGCTCTGAGACTGGACCTAAACAAAACTTATGTCCAAGACAAGTCTGTTTCACTAAGATGCACAGGTTTAATGAACAAATTGAGAACTGGCAGCCCACCTGACACTCCTCAACACACAATAAAAGTCTACATACAACTAGCAATGTGGCATTCAACCAGAAGCTGCTACCATGTATGCAGTAGAATGTATGCAGTAGAATGTATGCATAATACATTCTCTAAAGATCAAGACACTTTTTTTATCATTTTGAATTTATAAGGGAATATCAAATTGCCCAAATGCAAAGTTACTAGCACTGCAAGATACATTATCCTTACTATTACTTATTTCCAAGATTATTAGACAAGCTACTCCCAAAGACTTATTCACTGGAGGGCTTAAGCCTCATCATTCAAGTGGCAGAAAGTTTCATTGAAACACCCACCTTAAACCCCCACTATTGATCAGCATTCCAAACATCTGTGTGCTGTGCATTAGATAATTCACCATTTTAATTTACTTTTTCAAAATTACACAAGTTCTGGCCCTGAAGACAGCAGAGAAACAGACTGCTAGGTCCACACTTACTTTAACACGGCTGCTTCTTCCTTGGAAGGAGATACTGTATTTATATCCTAACCTCCCTACACTGCAACAGTTCATATTTAATAGGAGTCAGGCAGCACAAGTTTAATGGTTTAAAACTAGACTGCCACAGATAATTTACAAGCCACCACACCATAACAGATAACTCCATTTTCACTTGCAAAACCTACAGCAAGAATAGCAGGTGGTGCTACAGCTCCAAGATTAGTGGCAAAGTTAAGCGACACTTGCACAACATGGGTCCTGTCTGTACTCAGCTCTAACAAGCAAATACCATTAGGCCCCCACTTCCAAAGAAGCCATTTAAAAAGAAGTTACAGAAACACTTAGAAGTTCCAGAATTAGGGCAAGGAAATCAGCTGTTCTGCAATGCATTAGATCACAACCAAACTGAACAACTGAAAATTAAGTGACAGTTGTTGCCATCACAAACAAGAGAACTTTTTATAGGAACAAGGGCAGAGACTTTTTATTGGCCAGCTTTTACAGCTGCACAGAGCCAGATGTAGAAGATCTAGGACTTCATTTACTAATTCTTCCTTCTAATCACATTAAGGCAAGCAATTTGAAGGTACCATAAACTCACCTGGTAGTAGCAAGTCTAAAAACTGGGTAAATGTGTTTCACACTTATTTTAGGAAGAGTCTTTTCACACCTTCAGCATCAAATGATTTTGTAACACCCACACAGATATTTTTTTTTTGGCTAGGTTGGCTCAAGTGTTTCATGATTTAGCTTGAAACTATCAAAAACCTTACATCAGTCCACCTTCTTTCCAATTAAACTTTGGAAAATTAGTCTGATTTATAATTGCCAGCCATTGAGGGACACTGAAGGAAAGCTAAATGAACTGTAGTCCTTGCAGTATATCAAAATTATAGACCCTCAATATCATTTTCACTATGTTGGGTACAAAAAGCAAGCCAAGTCCTGTCCCAATGATGGGCAGAATCAAGCCTGTCAAACTTCAGACTAAGTCAGCAAAACCACCTAGAATGAACACTGAAAAATGTGTATGCTAATATAGGAGCACATACTATAAACTCTCTCCTCAGACACAGATGTTTTCCCAGAACTGAAATGGCCAATGCGGACAATGAGAAGGTTTCAGTTCAACAGTCAAACCTCACCACATAAACTCCACTTAATGAACTGAAAGAAGTAGGTATAACATTCTAGTTCCAAGTTACACAAATGCATATGTACAAAAGAAAAGTTAACCTCAAAATAGTCTATTTTTCTTACAGCCTGCAGAAACAGGATTTGAGAACACACAAGAACTAATGGACTGGAAAGATCATCTCATATCAGGAAGCTGCATGTCAGTTAAGGAAAACGAGCCAACATCACAACCCAGAGTTAGTCTCACCTAAGCAAAACTTCCAAGGAGAAAAAAAGCTTACACAGCAAACAAGCTACACATTACTCTAGTGCAAGTAGGCAACTGACTTCCACCTCACAACTAGCAGCTGCAGAAGCTTTCAGGTGAACATCCCCCCTTTGAAAGTCAGTCTCTTCAGAGACAGCTGAAGAATTCAATAATACAAAGCATGGTCACTAGCAACCTTCTTGTTCCAACATGCAGACAATAGGTCAAAACAGTATTTCAAAGCAATGTTTTGAAAGCAATGTCCCAAGAAGAAAAAATTAGGCTTGGCAGTTACCAGAGAAGGTACCACAGTAGGAAATGCAGGCTCTCAGATTGAAACCCCTTTCACACCCACCAGGCAGTGCCCTCCAAACCCCCCAGGTGTGAGTCTGAAGCCATCCAGACACACAGAGTTATCCAATGACATCTCTCAGCACTGAAGTATATGGATGAAAGGAAACCACTGGTCAGAGTTGCTCAGAGACACCTCACCATGCTACTGAATTACCAGAGAAGACTCTTGGGTGGAAATATCAATTTGAACTTACACAACACTAAACACCAGGTCACAATCAGAGTTTGATTTCAGTTGGCTATCTCCTAAAAACCATAGCTGAGCACAGTGCTGAGTTTTCATCCTCAGTCCTCCTGTTTTTTCTGGACCTTGGGGCCCTCAGGAGGCAATGACATCATCCTCTGCACAGCACAGGATCAGACTGGGTCTCCTCCTGGCATCAGTTTTAAAAGTTTACCAAAAAGCTCAGCAGAGCCTCCCAGTACCACATTTATGGCCCAAAAAAAATGCATTAGGAAACCCTGCTCAACTGTCTATCCAATTCTAGAAAAAAACATAAGAACAAGAATACTGTGATGTGTAACTGACACAATTCCCACCAAGCAGCCTAAACAGTGTCTGGAATCACACACAATACTGACAAGCTTTATATTCTGTCAAACACCTTCAAGGCTCTGAAACAAAGCCCTCATGAATTCATCACAACATTCACCAGAGAGACAAAAAGACAGGCTATTACTAGAGGGAGCATCTTTTTTCCCCAAACACACACAGCCATTGCACTAATCAAGACAATGTAAAAACTAGCATCAGTCCAACTGAGACTACATCAGGTAGCTTTTGTAGATAATCCATTCATTCTATCCCATAACTTCATCCAACATGATCTCTTCCTATTTCTTGTTCCTCCATCAGCTAGTATCTAACAAACTTGAGTGTCAACTTAAGTAACAACAGATGAACCTATCCTAAAGGTACACATGGAAATTAATTTCTTCCCATGAAACTGAACATTTAAACCCTACAGCAAAAAAAAAAAGTAACAATTTATCTCTGGAAACCAGCTGAAGTCAAGTCTCAGTATTTTCATTCCTTTATTGCTTCTAATACAGAGCCTGTCATAAGATACAGGACAACTATTGCAAGGAAGTAATCAGAGTTTACAGCCTTTTAAGCTAATTGCAGACTGCACTTGTTTTAGCATCAAATTCCATTTGTTAACTAGGAAGTCTTTGCACAAGTGGGAAAAGATGCAAGGTTTCTTCTGGTATGAAGACAAGAACACCTAAGTCTCCACAAGTTACTTTCATTGGTAAAAAACAAATCAATCACATCCAAGCTTCAGAGCATCCTGCCTATAACTTACTTGCAGGGAATATTTCTTCACCTCCTACAAATGGTGTCTGCTTCCTCTTAATGTGAAAGAGCTAACAAAGGTTTGAGGACAAAACCCTAGTTGAGCTGATCAGCACACACAGTTCCCAAGGATGGGATGAAGGAGATGTCTGGCTGATGAAAATCATGCTCCATATCTTCAATTTTCCTCTCCACACCCCCTTCACACCTAATTCCTTCAGTTTCAGGAGTAAGGCCTCAGACAATGACAGAGTCTGACAGAAGTGTCACAGGGGTAAGATGTCTAGAGCAGGAAAAAAGCTTCATTGCCTTATTGTCTCATACATCACTGTACATGCTACTTAGCTCCTAGTTCTAGGATGTCCCTTTTTCTTTGGGAAGACCTCTCCACTGCAGTAAGGAGTAGCTATTATAGACTGATGTTTACATGATAACCTCTAGCTTGCTGCTCATACACTAGTGTATCCTTGGCTTATCAACACTGCAGTCAGAGCTCAGGTCTCTCACTGAGCTGCTCAGAAATACAAATAGATTTAAAATACCAGTTATTTAAGCACAGTGGAGAGGAAAGATACTACTATAGCTATAAATTCACCTCAGGAGTCCTAGAATGTAATCAAGACTATATGACAACATAAGAGCATGACTGATTTCTAGTTCTGTCACTTCCTCTTGCTTATTCATTAGTTCATCCCTGTGTGTATGCACAGAACACTAAGACTTGACAGGTGAAGTGATTAACACAAGGTAATGACATCCCTGGAGAATTCATGCTTATAATTCCCTGCAATTATCTCACAGTAACTAATAACTCCTCTTATTTTTGTATTTAACATGCTCACAATATGGAGTAAGTGAAGACAGCTGGATAGATACTTACATTTGAGGCTGAAAAGAATGATAATGATTCTGAAATGCTGAGCTGGCACTCAGTGCAACAAACCTGAGACAATTCAGGATTACTTCTCTGTCCCAGGATGGCTACCAGCTGAAAACAGCCCCCTTGCATTAATAGACATGAAAAGGTCTTGTTTATTAGATATGAGAGACTTAATGTGACATTATTAGAAAGAAAAAGGCTCACAAATCTAGGAAGTAATAGCTGCCAAGAGAAACATGAACACATCTAGGGAATAGAGGATGTTGTAGAATTTGATTTGTGGTACTAATTGTGAAGCTCAGTAACCTCCTTCAGTATCAATGGTGCTGCTTCACAAAAATAGCACTCTCCATCAGGTAACTGAGCCAACAATGGTTTTAGGACAGATTACACATTATATAGTGGTGCCTAACTTCATTTGGTAGCATTCAAATCCTGACAAGATAATTAGTGAAGCCTCTTTTTAAAGTGATTAACATAAAACTGGGGAGATTTTTTTCCATTAGCTAATACTACCTCTCTCAAAATGTTCAAGATGAAATAACGTGCCAAAGCTTCAAAGTAAACAAAGTTAAATTTGCAAAAGTATTTAAGCAACAAAGCTAAGCTAATAGCACTAAAACTCCAACATGAAAATACAAATCTACAAAAAGTCACGTTATTGCTTTTGGTTTCCCTTGAAAACAGTAATAAAAAACCCAAGTCAAGCATTTCATTATTAAACTTGACCTTTCAGACTCTTTGAATATTTGATTTTGACAGAAGAAAACACTGGATCAAAAAATTGAGAGTGTGTATTCAATTAACTGTGCACACATATGGAAAGGCACACAGCCACACTAAGTTTAGAGACAACCAACTATTGTGGATGATCAATACATTTCTCCCATCCAAAACTATTATTTTGTTGCAAAAGTATTTTCCAGCTCGAGCCATTTGTTTTCAATCTTTTTCAAAGTAATATTTTTTTCCCTATTAACACTGCCAAGGATTTCTCTTCTAGACACACTGCCATAGGTCAAAAGGAAAATAAAACACAAACTTAAAAGGAAAAGGACTTGCAAATACCTTTTTTCAAAGAAAAAAAAACGAACCACAGTAAATTTCAGCTTGAAAGATCAATGTTTTGGAAAGTTAAACACATCAAAACAGATTTTCTCATAGAAACTTCTGCAGATTGTGAACCTCATGCTTATCTTCTTAAAAAGTATGGAAGTGCAAGAAAGATGCATTTGTCAAAATACTTGACTACAGCAGTATTCTGAATTCTTAAGTCTATAAAGATACCATTTTCTTCTAGATAAAAAGCCTGTCCCATAAGCTGAGAAGTCACCATTTCATAAAGGCAGCAGAAAAAAAACAACACCAAAAAACTTGAGTGAAATAAGCAAGGCAGGTTTCAAGCAGCTAACCATATGATCTGAACATGTTTTATGAAATATTACACAGGTGCATTTACTCTAAGGCAATATTTGCACTAATAAGTACTAACAAAGTACTGTGTAAGAACTTGAAGTATGTAGTAAATAGAACTTGTTAATAAAATCATGCCATAAATAATATTCAAAGAGGCATATTAGGAGACCAAGTTACCAGGCAGTATTACATTCCTTTAAGCATTTAACCCAAAAATCTGAAACAAGCACTCTCAGTCATAGTAAAAAAGCTTCTTTTGTGTAAGAAAATGTTACAGCCATGGCTTACTGAGTGAAATTGCAATTACCCTGCAGTCACCTTTGCAAGAACCAGGCTTGAATTACCCAAGGGAAGGAGGCAATGCTCCTCCCCATGACCGAGCTACAAGTCACAAGAGCAGGTGATGTGCAATACATCATACAAGTGTTCCAGGGTCCACACATTTCTGGAGTTCCATCCTTATTTCTTGAAAGGTCACCTATTACAGCATCAAAAGAAACTACAGTAAACTTGGAAGTTCTTACTCCTTTTTACTACCTCAAGATGGCCCCTTAAATCCCTCTTCACAGCTTGCAAACTAGTACCTCAGGCCTTCTGCAGCCAGGATACATCTTTACCATTGGCATGACCCGACTGCCTGTCACAAACAGTATCTCCTGTATTATCCACACAGAAATGCCTCCTCCAGAATGGAGTACTTGTCACAAAATCCACCAGCTACAGGGAGGACCTTGGCATTCACTAGAAAGGAAACATCAACTGGCCTGATCTACTCTGTGGCTGTAGCTTGTCTGATGAACACAGGTTGCTAGTCTTCTAAAATTGTTCTGCTGACTGGTCTGTATTTGACAAACTTCTTCCCACTGGTTTGCATCTTTCTTAACCTGATCAAGTGAAAAGAAAAGATTGTTTCCAGCAAGTCTAACAAGTCCCCATTTCCCTCAAAATAAATGTCAAGGCCAGACACTAACCACTATGGCAGGGACAGAACTGACAGGCCTGCACAAGACTTTTGAGATGTGACAGCTTACATTTCTGGAATAGAAAGGAGAGATAAGAAAGAACATCAGAGGAAGTCTTGGCAACCTAGGGGACACATAAGCAGGGACAGAGATCTTAAATAAGCTGTGTCCCAACAGGCTTCAGGATGTTCCTTAGGCCATATTCAGAGGATCTGCAGACAAAATTAAGATTATTTAGCCTTAAAAAAAGAGATGCTATCCCTGTGCATTATTACTAAAGTCAAGGGCAATGAGATGAGATGGGAAAGGTATCCCATGACATTGAGTATCAGTCAGCAGTGCTACCCTCTGCCATGGCACATTAAGAATCAAAAGCTATGCTATTTCCTCCACTTCACCCTTCCCACTCAGCACATGCAAACCAAAGTAGGTATCAACAGCCTCTCCTGTGGAGCTGTTCTAACTCATTTCCAACTGGGGGAGGAGACAGCAAAATCAGTGACTTTACAGTACTTGCCCCTGAACTTGCATCACCCCAGGATGACTCAAGGAAGAGCAACCTGGCTAAGCTGTGTATGAACCTCTTGAAGCACCCACTTCTCAATTTACCTCCTAGACTAAAGCATAATAACCAGGAAGCTTCCCCAATGTTTTAATGGCTCCTCAACCTGCACTGAATTCCAATGGAAGGTGTTTAATGAGTGTCAATGGACAATAGCCAGTGAAAATGGGTCAAGGTCTGAAATTCTAGACATAATACTAAATATAAGAAAATTAAAGTAGATATTATGAAGATATGAGAATTGTTTGTAGATGAACCTGCCATAAAATAACTTCTAATAGCATCTCAAAAAACTAAAGTTAAAATAGTTTTAAACAATGCTTGTGTCTTTGCTGTTTAAGCAAAAAGAGTTTGTGGTTTTTTCTAACCCTGAAGGATCAAACAGATATTATCCTTCACACCAAAGAGAAACAGAAGGGAAGCATACCATTTTGTCTTCACTGATACCTCCAGTGATAGGCAAGATTCTCCAGCATACCTTTCCATTTGATACTTGGATATTCTAATGAACAGTATTTTCACAAGTTCTCATGGGATACTCTGCCTAGCCTAATAGGTCTCATAGTTTACAACAGCAACTTTACCTTGGGCTCAGTTTCCCCCTTTGGTTAGTTCCTTGACACTGCCCAAGTCACAGTATTTGATACACTAAAAGAAGTCTGAGTGACAAGGTCACTCCTTCCCCATCTTTTCCCATTCCAGGAAAAAACAACAAACTGTTTCAAGAGTTTCATGTGAATTTACAGTGGGGAATCTCTACCCTCAAGTTGCTTTCTTCCCACATGATTCACACTAGTGTGAGACAAAAAGGCAGGCAGTTAAAAACTGAAGCTGACACATGTCAAGAGATTATTCTCCTTGAAAACCACGTGTCCTTTGCCTTAGATTTCCCCAAAAATGCCTTGCCTTATTCTTTGGAGAGACAACACTGGGTTAGCACACTTAAATAGAAGCTGGCAGAAAGCAGCAGACACCACCTCACCCACTGAAACACAAAGCAAGTTACCTCACGTTTGTTTCTTCTGGCAACTTTGAGAAATTCCATAAGGATCTGCAATTGGGCAGCATGGGACTCCTGTAACATAGCAAATAAGGAAGCGTGGCTTACATATACATTAAGAGAAACAAACATTCATTTTACACACAAGAATCCACACTAGGCACAGAAGCAGCTTTCATTTAGAGGCAAGGAAAACAGCTATTACAGCAGTTTTAAGAATGGGAGTTTTACTTTACCTCACAGGTTTTAAGGTTTTGTTTGGCTCACAACAAGTTTTTACACATGAAGGCAGAAATCCTCCTAGCACTTCTTATTTGTGCCCCACTGAAGACTTACTAGTAGGTTGAAATGCTTTTCAGTTTTATTGACTAACGCATCTGAAAGTGTTTTTGCAATGCAGGCTCCTCACAGACTTACCTTCTGCCCTGCAATATCATTAGCATCCACTTCATGATTAACATACTAAAGTATTTACACAAAAATCACCCCCCTGCCCTAAAATCAGCATTTGTGTTTCCTGATGAAGATTTCTCCAGAGCAGAAGACAATAAAATCACTTATGAAGCTCAAACATGTCTTTCCAATCTTTCCATGACAGCTCATTTACCTCAACCATCAGCTTCCTATTTTCATTCAAACTGGCCAAAAACTAGACTAGATGTGTAAGATAAGAAAGCACAAGAGGAAAGAAAAATAAAACCCATAATCTAGCATTAATGTAGCCCTAATCCTATCCCAGCATTCTGAGGCTTATTTTCACAACATAATATTTATTATTAAAGGACTCAACATACACTCAAGAGGATCAAGACACTAGAGTAGAATCCATCAAAAGCAGATGGGACAGAAAAAGTAAAAAGAGAAGGATACAAGACTATTATTCTGAGATTTTATTCCTTCCCACCCTTGTGACAATAATGAAAGCAAAGCAACTAAAACTAGAAAGGAAGAATGTCTGTAAGTATCTTTTAAGTGTCAGGTGTGGTTTGGGGTTGTTTTTGTTTTGTTTTTTTTTAAAGGCTTTTTAAAGCTTTTTAAGGTAATTCTACTCTGAAGAATCCACACACTCAGCACCAAGTCTCCTTTGTTTCAGATTTGTCACAAATTACACAAAAGGCTTGAGAACAACAGCAACAAAGAGGTTTTACTCTGAGGTTAGAAACCATTCTGCCACATCTTCACTGAGCCAGAATAAAAATGTTATGTCCAAGTCCCCATGCAGTAAGGCAACATAACAGCTTTGTCAGTAGTCAGTAAACATATTTTGGGGTTATTTTCCTTCCCTCAGAACCACAAGTTGAATAAACACCAATTCTGCAAGTGCAAGTTAAGAGTAGCCATTCCCAATACAACTTTTTCCTCACCTGCTTTAAAGCACCATCAAAAGCCACTCTCCTACCCAAAGTTTAGTAGGTCAAATTTTGTAACCCAGTTTAACTTAGTAGGTCTGGCTCTCATAACTGGAAAATGCTCCCTTGAGACCAACAGCATGGAACGGCCAAAAACATGAGAACTATTCCAAACCAACTACATTTCAGTGGAATCACAGGAACAGCTTGTTTCATATTGTATAAATCTTCAAGTGAGCCTCATAAACAAGCATTTTTTTCAAGCATTACATATTAAAAAAGCCCTCAAGGATGGCAGTCATTTAAGTTCTATCTGTTCCAGAAGAAACTAAAGGGCATGATCTTTTCCACATGTCATGAATTTATTCCTTAACCTGTCTTTTGGACTTTTTCATGCTAATTACCAAGAAGGATGATATTCATTTGTACAACAGTTCATTAGCAAACACCTTCCAAAGCATTTCCCTGTTCTGCTAACCAGTCTTACCCTTGTGCATTTTTCCTGCTTGTTTGTACAACCCTGCCAGCAGCAACACTATAAGCACATTATGGGCATCACAGTTGAAATGTTAGTTTGCTAAATCTGCTAAACACTAAAGCACAAAAGAAAGGTAATATATTTGGCAGTAGAATCTTCATTCAAAATAAAAGAATGAAAAGCAAAGACTGCTAACTAGACAGTGTCATTTTAAATAAGGGATTTCTTACTGCTTCCAACTGTTTTTTCTTTTGCACCAGCAGCTCCAGCATCAGGTTTACATTGGCCAAGTCAAGATTGTCTTGATCAGTTCCCAGCAAATCTTGGATTATCTGCCACCTATGGCCATTCTAGAAAGAACACAAGAGATGTGGGGAGACAATGAGTGAGTTCAATCCATCCAGGGCTAACCCCAGCAACAGGTATTAAAACTAACATTGCAATGTTACATCCCTTTATAAAAATTTCAAAACAATTTCCAGGAATCAAAATTCCCAGTCCTCCCACATATACAGGATACAGACCTTCTGTCCTGCTGTGTAACTGCTTATCTTATTTGCAAGATATTTGTGCTTTATGAGAGGAGAGCTGCTGTGACTAGGAAGAGATTATTTCACAGCCACAATTTTATCTGATTTGTGCCCTAGTTTCTGAGAACGTATTTCTAAGGGGAGGAGAAAAAAAAGCATGTTTATCCAAGCCTAGTTGGATTATATCTACCTGAAATACTATTAAGTAGCAATACCTTTTAATTTTTTTAACCAACAGGTAAAGCCTTACTACTAAATTCAAATGGGCATCAGCTTCTTTTTTTCTAGTCTCACCTCCCACACTACTCCTCTTAAAGAGTATTTTCACAAAAAATGTGAGAGCAGGAAAGAAGATTGAGTTCATCAGGGTGAACTTTTCATTCAACCTGCTAGAGCTGAGGACACATCAGAGAGCCAACATGCTATCATGCAGCCCATTCTTACCTATAGACCATTTGCTCTTTCTCCTTGCCAGTAGAAAAAATAATCTTTTAGCACAGGAAAACCTGAATAATAAGCTAATGCTAATGTAGCCTTACATTAAGAAGTCTCAGGAACAGATGAAAGGTCCTTAGGCCTCCCAAGAACAAAACCAGCTGGATTAAAAAAATCCTGCCCTATAAAAGCTATGACACTAGATAATTTGCTAGAGCTAGAAAATGTCTAGTTTGGACTGGATGCCATTTCTAAGAGGTGCTAGCTTATTTGTATTGTCTAGATTAAGATAAAATACATTAACATTCATATGCAACAAGCAACTTTTTACACAACTCTCAACAGAGCCTGTGGAAACTAGAGGCAAACACTCAATTTCCAACTGCAACAACTGGCAAAGAAACCCCATTTTTTAAGCATGTCAACAAGATTCAAATAAAACTTTAACATACTAATGTAGGAGTTAAATGTACTACTGCTAACCTACTCAGAAAGCTTTGAATATCCCTTAGAATGGTTTCTTAATGAGATAAGTTCATGACACAGAAACTGCACATTTGCTGCAATATGTATTCAATGACTTCTCTTCATACCAGAAGTAAAAGGGAACCAGGCACATGGAGCTGGTACAACCACAAGGTTTCTCTTTTTAAAGATATAGGTATTTCTTTAAGAGCTGCCAAAAGGTAGACAGGACACTGTTTTGGGCATGAAGTCATGGTAGATTTTGCACTTACTGGTAGTTATCTAACACAGATGCACCTATAGGCATAGTTTGAAAAGGTGCACTGGGAGAAAGTAGAACAAATTGCCAAGGAGTTACTATCCATGTCTTCAGGTCAATCGTGTACATTTTAAACCAATCTGGCTTGTGTGTATTTTATACTGCATATAAAGTTTCCTCGTTAATGTCATACAGTCTTTTTGATCTTAATGTACAAGAGCATCCACTGCTGCTGTACAGGGGTTTTCTTTAAAAATGTCTCCACACTTGATGAGGGGGAAAGTGTTGATACCTTTACAAATCTACTGAAATGTCTGGTTTTGTTTTCATGAGCTGGGAACACTGTGTGACATAAAGAAAATCTACAAGATATCAATACAGTTTTCTCTGGCATCAGAGCCAGAATACCAGTAGTACAAATGCATCCTTCTCCCTCTTGTGGTTGGTATTAGCTTTTCTCCAATCTCATATGTGATCAGACAAGCCCATGGCACTTCTCATCATTCATTACTCTCATTGTAGCTGTAATTGCCAACAACGAATGAAAATTACCTTTAAACAAGTTTGCTTCCACAGGCATTTTCCCAGGTTATATTCAATACATCACATGACACTCAGCTATGCTAACAGAGCTTCCCTCTACATGTTACTGGCAGGAAAAATGGGAATTAAGAAGGTTGAAGTGCCACTGATATGGTATTATTTCCACATGAACCAAGTTGAAGCATCAGCTCGACAGCATTTCTTCTAAATTAAGCCATGTAATAACAATTGCAGTACCAAACCTTTAAATAAATATAAAGTAAAAAAAGTTGGAACATACGGTGCTACTCACTGAATGGTCCAGTTTGAGTCTCTTCTCCTCAGATCTTTGCTTCTGTTTAAGAATAAGTTCATTGACTAAAACCATAAATAAATGGGATGTCAGCATTTGATTTAAAGTTCACAAGAAGTATGAAAACTTCTATCTCAATATTTTTATTTAGTCATATTTTTACTTTAGTAAGTTTATCAATAGAATGTCTCCATTTCTTCTCACCAATTTATTCCTTGCTCATGGTTTTTTCAAGTATTGAAAAATTGATTTTTGTTTAAAAGATAATTAAATACAATGCCTACACATTCCCCAAATCCCTCAATGCTTCAGTTTGTTTTTCTAAGCACCCATGGTTCTTGGGCAAAGTTTTTCAACTCCAAGGCAGAAGTGTATTGCAGAAGAGTATGAGGGAGTAAAAACTCAACTGGTTTACTACAGGGCAAAAACCAGCACACCAGAAAAGTGTTTTTCTTTTAATTACTGTGTGCATTTTTTTGCTGCTGTTTTCTGTCAGACCCATCTAGTGAGTGGTACAAATGCAGCAAGAACTTCAATCCTTTGTACACACACACGAGCTCTTCTCCCTCCTCATGGCTGTTTTCCCCTCGAATTGCCAGTGTGTGGAATCACCACTCAGTGGCCCAAGACATCCTCCAAGACTTGCCTCAGCACCACCTTCAGCACAACTTGTGGAGTCTAAATCATGACACCCATTTCTGAAGCATTCATTGGATATTAATCTTTTAATCTATTTACTATTGAATGGATGCATATGAAATTTAGAATTTAATTTTGATATTTCACACCACAACGTGTTTCTCCTTTGACCTTTTCTTCCCCACAACAAAGTTTTGAACTCTATTTCCAGTTAGGAACATTTCACTCCTCTGTTTAAGAAGCAACCAATTAGGATTGCACGTATATGAATAATTTTTCTGCATGTGACTTACACACATCCATCACATGGACTTCATTGCAGCAGCAAAAATAGTACAATATGTAATTCAGCCTCCCCCCTCCACTGTTCATTCTTTGTAAACAGAGAATGTTCTTGATTATTAGACAGACAGGGCAAGAAAACACAAGGAAGTAGATTCACATCTCTAGTCAACACGAAAACATCTTTGTTTTCCTTTTCTTGGTATGCAAACAGCAGCAAGTCAGTCTCACTGCTGCAACTCAGCACACAGAACTGCTGGAGGCAGTGAAGTATTAGCAATTTATACTTCTTCAGTAAAAACCACAACTGACCAAAGGGTTGATGTCTGGAATTTATTTTCAATATCCAGAAGCTGCCTATTTATAGGACAAATGTACAAATGTGCCTGCCTTCCTTAACTACTATGATGTTCCTCATGGAAACTAACTTGGAGCTCACCTAAGAAGTTGGGATAAAGATGATCTATGTTGTCCACAACATAGTTGCATTTGGGACATCTGTTATTATCCTCCAAGCTCTGGTGAATACATTTGTAGCTGTTGAGAAACAAACAAGAAACAAGTGAGCAAACATGAAGGAACAAAACATAAGCAAAAGGTAAATAATATCAGCCTTAGATAGGATGTACTCTGCGTTGCATGGCCAAGATCCTACAGCTGAGTCACAATATTCCAACACTTAACTCAGTGTGCTACAGCAGAAAGACAGCAAAGTTTCTTGGTGAGGATTACAAAAGGTATTTAAGTACTTAATTCTTCATTGCCTGAGGACTGTGGCAGCATGGATACTTCAGCCACACTTCCATCTCAAATTCATGCCCCTCTTCCACAGGCAGAGCTAAAAAATAGACTGCAAAGTTGTCTAGATTAGCCAAATACTTAACAAGCAACAGAAGCTATTGTGCATTTTGGCTAATTGAGCACATTGGAAACACCTTCACCGACATTTGGCTATTCTTCTCTCCAGAAGTGCTTTCAGAGGTCCTCTCAGTTGAGATGTTAGCTATTGGAGGGACAGAGTAACTACAAGATGTACCTCAGCATCAGGTTTAAGCATCTTGCTAAGAATTTAGCCTCATGCTGAGTGCTGGTAAAGGCACCATGTGGCAACACTGCTCTGTTCTTTCTAAATCAAGATATTTCAATGCTTCTCATCTTGGACTTTTTTTAAAAGTCGCAGCTCACAAGAGTAAAGTGTTATCATGGAGGGCACAAAATCAGCTGTTATTTTACCTGTTGCAGCTCAAAACATTTCTAAAGTTAACTGCATCTGCTGCTTGAGGAAATGCTTTATGCTATTAAAATATTATTCCTTGAAAAGGGAAAGCAATTTGCTTCTAGTTAACAGACACCATAAGAGTACAATGTACATGGGACATTAAAGCACCATGGTTGAACATTTATTCCAATTCTTAGCTAAGCACAGGAAGAGCAGACAATTCCACACCTGCCCCTGGAGGGTTCTTGCACTTTTCCACAAAACATTTGCTCCTCACTTAGCCAGAGATAACACTGAAAAATAAGGGGACTCTGGGCAAATTCAAGACAACAGAAACAAGTCAGAAGCACATCCTCCCTTAAAAAGTGTAAGAGACCACTGCAAACTGTATATGGTCTTGCGAACAGCAAGAACAACCCCCCAACACCAACACTCACTCCCATGATCTCTACAGAGGCAGGATCCACTGCTTTGGGTAGCAATTATCACTTGCCATTGCAAACTGAGATAAGCTGACCAACTGTCCAGTCTCTGGGCACTGGATGCAACCAGAAGTTTATAACCATTCTTTTCTTTACAGAGGAAATATGGTGGTGTAGTATGTTTTGTTTTAAACACTAAGACAACTCCCTTTTTTGTTTTAGCCTGTTACCTATCATTAAAAATTTTATTAAACTTTCTTCAGTGCAAGGACAGAGGATAAAAGTAATAAAAACTCAGAAGGAAAGGGATTCACAGCAACATCAGTCATACATGCTGTAAGAGATGGACATTTTGCACAACACAAGAAAATCTCACCAGAAGCTGTGTCCACATTTTGTCATGTAGGCTTCTTCAATCATATCAAAACAGATGGGGCTGGGAAAACAAAACAAAGAACAAAGATGTATTTTTGTGTTAAAAAAATGAAGGAAATGTTTATTGATTCAAAACAGTCACCTCATCAAGCTTAGGTAGTGTTTTCTACTTGCAAAATGAAAGAGGACATAGAAGTGCAACAGCAAGCAGGCAGTATAAAGATCAAAAGGGCAATCAACAGTCCTTTGAACTCAACGATTCTGCAGGTTGATACATTGAACACCAGGTGAGTACTCCCTTTTGAAGCTTTCAACAGCTGAAAACCATGCCAGAGTGACTTCAAAAAGCAAGGCTGCAGAAGATCCTCCTGTACTAGACCTTAAACAGAATGCAAAAAAACTTTTTTTATATAAAAGCAGACATAAGACATTTATAAATGACAAAAATTAGTTTCAGCCAATAGCTATCTATAATAAAACAAAAAATTATGGGAAGAGGGAGAGCAGAAATAGCAATGACTGAAGAAGAGAAAGAAGAGAAGAGAAAGAAATAATAATGAATGAAGGTGCCAACAAGGGGGTGTACCTGCAACCAACAGTCAAGCACAATGTTACACACTCAAAGAAGAGGAAAGGTAGAACATGGGATTGTTCATAAGATAGAGGAATGAAGATGGAAACAAGGGCTTCAGTTTTTTTTCCAAGAGTAGTTAGTGATCAAAGCACAGCCAGCTCTCTGGGAGGGGGTCACCAAGGACCAAGCAGGGAGCTTGAAGAGGAGGAGGTACAAGCAAACAGTGCTCCATGGAAACTTGAGCAGGACAAGAGACACAGGGAGTCTGTGGGACAGGTAATGGGAGAAAGCTATCTCCTCATCAAGGGGCGGTGAAACATTTGAAAGGAAAATTAAACAAAAATGAAAGCAGAGGAGATATGCATCTTGCACCCTATGATTCCCATGGCTGCTATCCCTGCCAGCTGGTAAGATATGCTGCCACATACATATTCATCTTCAGGCCTTGGTCAGCTACCTGGCAAGATGCTGTGAGCAGCAACGCCACAGTTCTGCACCTAGCAAATGTAATCAGCTGTGTCACAGGCTTCACCTTGCTGTCAAGCCCTGATACATCCAAATGCTCTCCTCTTACTCCCCCAAGTCCTCACCAATCTCAGTTCAGAGGGGTTTTCACCAGTACTTGTCTTCAGAAACAGCTTCCTCCCACCTTCTGCCAAACAGACAGTTCCCACAGAATAAGCTGCTAATGAACTGTTTACTTTTGAAGAGCACAATTCTTTTTTAAGCCAAGATCAAAAACCTAAAGCTTAAGCAAAATAAACAATTCTTGGCTGAGAAGGGCAAGTGAGTACCTTGACTTCTCCCCTTGTTAGCACTCCACAGAAGTTTGTCCCCCTTCCTGTCATCTATTTTAGAAGATACTAGTATTGGTTACCTCATAAGGCACATAAAAAGAGGAAGAAGGAACACCTCTTCAACATTTTTAAGCCTCTGTGGTCCCTGCCAATGCAATCCCCCTCCAAAAGACCAAACTGGAAAACATGGATGCCCTGAAAGGTTTGTCCAATATACAAATAAGATTGTCTTAAATATTCCCAAGCCACCAATCCTGTTGTTCAAAAGAAGCCTCCAAAGTAAATGGCAGAGCCTCTTCTGCACATTGTCTTCAGCAGCAACAGCTTCAGGAGCTCAGGTCACTGCTTCCAACTTAGAAATTAATTAGTTTCAAGGCACTGTTTAGTCAGTATAAATTATGACCAAACTTCACCAAAGGTGGATTAATAAGAGGAGAATTAGACACCTTTGAAGTCTATTAGATGGCCTTTAAAAAAGTGAAAGCCTTCTGGTCATATGAGTGTCTGAGGCTGGTTTCTCCTCAGTGGTGATAAACAGCTTAACTTCTCCATCTTCTTCTAGTCATGCCATATAACAAGGTCCCACTCTCTGCATCACATTAAAAACTGCTACTCCCCACAGGATGAGCTGTGGTCTTTCCAGTATGCTCCTAATGCTCTGCCTCCAAAAAGTGTAGCCATCAAGGCTGCAATGCTCCTCAGTTTGCAATAGAACACCACAAAGTCAAGCTAAAAAGACTACCTCCTAATACACTCACCCAAGACTGTTGTTCCCAAACTTATTCTTCTTCATACCACTTTGACTGGAGAAATGATAAAACCAAAAATAGTTAAGAAAGCAATCAGAGCCAGCAAATGCAGCCATAGAGTGCCAGGGTCACAGTTAACTGAGCCTGAAGTTTCCATTAAGAACTTTTTCCCTTGAAACGCTCAGTGATTTACTAGTGGAAACAAGATTGATGTCTTTTAATACTTACTGAAGCCAGGCTGGCTGTAACACATGAAAGTTGCTATGCAGCAGTTGGTTTAAGGTAATCTAAGAGAGAGGGAAGGTTAAAAAAAAGTAGTGGAGTAATGGGGACATGAGCCATACTATAGCTTGTAATATGCACTGAAATTGAGAAGCACAGGTATACTGAAATCAAGGCTTCTCTGCATGAGAAAGCTCTTATCCTCTCTTTGTCTTAGGCAGGTAGAAAGGATGCAAATTACTTCAGCCAGCCAAAAATGTCACTGCTCTTCCCCAGATACTGATGCCTTATTCACTAAACAGTTATTTTTCCAGCACTGCAAAGGCTTCCCATTCTTTCTCTAAGGTAGACCTCAAACATTGTAAACATTATTTTAACTAAGTTCAGGCCACTTAGGTTTTGTCAGCTGTTTTCAAGGCACCTCTCAAGAGTGCTCCTGTCACCCTGCTGCTACCCAAACCTCTGGCTGAAGTGGTCACCATAGAATTTAAACACATTCCAAATTCCCTTCTGCTCTCCAGCAAACAAGACCCATGACAGTTTCTCCATCCTATTCTGCTCCTCTTTGGTATAAGCAGGGAGCAGGACTTGCTGCAGGTTCTGTCCTTCAGGCAGAAGGTGGCCAGGTGAAAGAGCACTGTCACTACTATCTACTCAATAGCTCCAATATAAGAATAGATTCTAAACCCATCATTGTACATGGTATGCAAGCAGCTCCCTCTGTTTTTGGCTTGTCATCTCCAGTGTCAATCCATAGTTTTCCTCATTAAAGGGGTTTGCCAAATCACAAACACTTGAAGAGCTACACTCAGGCCACTTGAGGAAAGAACTATTTAAAAACCCGTGAACCTGCAAATCCAACTTTAAACGTGGCACACAGCCCTTTCCACAGCCCAGGGTGTTGGGTGTACCTCTCCAGGCTGGTGTGTAACAGTCCCTCTTCCATGTGTACTTAACCCTGCAGGAGCTCAGAAACAAGGAGTAATAGGAAGCAGCCACTGAAAACACAGCCATCAGCAGGATCCACTCCATCCAGGGAACAAAGCAGACAGGAACTGGTTTTAAAGAGGCCTAGTCAACCACTAACTGGGAGGGTTAGTGTAAGGTGTAGGAAAACCATAAGCAGTTACACTGCTGGATAGGAGAAAATCCTCCAACTAGAGAACCACCTCTCAGGTATCCTCCAGGCCTGGCTGCAGGAGCAGCAAAAACTACCTGTAAATTCTACATCCCATACTAGGAGAAACAAATTATAGCAAAGTTCTCCAGTAAATCAGACCTGATTGCTTTCCTGGGCTAGAGTTACAAATTTCCAGGCAGAAGCTGATAGCTACCACAAATAGTAAACACTTGCAAACTCCTGAGAGAACACTTGCTAAACATTTCACAACCCCGACTAGCAACATCTGCCAACATTCATGTGAAAGCCTAGGCCTCACACTGCTGGGATGGCACTTTCAGAAGACAGGCAGGGAGGCTGCCTGCATTAACACTATTTACAGGATTTCCAATTGCACCTTGATGTTTGAAACTCACCCAAACTTCTTCACTTGTTCCCACCTTCAGCCTAGTGGAGGCCAACTCTACTAGTGAGTTCTCAGTTGTAGCTAATTACTAGGAGCTCACAGCACATGTTCAGAAAAATTATCACACATTCCCTGCAGCTGGCAGCATCCTCAAAGTGTCCTTATGGGAAAAAAAAACCAACACCCACATTGTATGGAAAACTTCAACTTCTCAGACTGAGATATGCAAACCTTGTTTAAATAAAAGATTTAAACCCATACAAACACATTTGTCTTCTCAGACTCTCCAGAGTTGTCCAGTTGAGTCTATTTCTGTACTACAAAACTCTTTTGGTAACATCAAAAAAGGGGAATACTATAATTTGAAGCTGTTGTTAATATAAGCAACAAGCCCTATAAGCCCACAGAAACACACAGCAGTGAAGAAAACAAGTCATTTAACTACAATCATGTCTACTCATAAAGCATCTGACCTGCACTTCAATATAGCCAGTGTGACTCTTGTAAATACCAAGGAAAGGGGGGACAAAGAAAGACATTTTGCCTTGATTACTACTACTCAGTTTATTTTTTCCTCAAATGTTCAGGCAGCAGCACTCCTCAATGAGGGGAAAACAGCATGTTCTCCTTCAAACATGCACCTGCAGAGTAAGAACCAGGAAACTCAGCTTTTTGAACTGTCTTAAAAATACCTCAAGTGGACTATAAACTTGTTGAGTGTAATTTCCCTTCAAACACCCTCATTTCAACAACAGACAACAAAACAAGAAGGGCACAGTCCTTCATAATGAAGTTATCCCCCCTGACCAACAGCAACACAATCATCTTCCCCAAATAAGTGCCCTTAACTCAACACAACATGGTTAATCTTTCAGCCAGGGCAGGACAACAGCAGATTACAGCTGTCCTCTCACCCCAATTCTGCTACTGAGCAAACAGCTACTTACAGTAATAAGTAGTAACCTTTTATTATTGCTTCTTACTAGTAAAAGAAGCAGTTAGTTTTTTTCTGCCACTAACCTTTTCACAGCTTTATGTTCTCACTTCAGTTGCAAGGATATTTCCCATCTAGAGTTTACAAAGCTGTGAAGTCAAGTCCACAGGTTTTCAAGATGATACTTGGCCTGTGGAGATACCAAACATCCAACCTTCACCTCATCCAACCCCAACCTGTAAGCCAGAGCTGTCAAAGTCATCCTGGAAGTTGTGTCCCAGTCCTCTTCCTCATTTGTTGGTTTGTTTTTTTTTTGTTTGTTTCTACTGTTTCTTTCTGATCCATGGCTTTCCTACAACTCAAGCTCCTTTCCAGTATTTTCTCACTGTCTCTCCCAGGTGCAAGCACTTACTCTGCTTTCTGTTCTCACATTTTAAATACATCCAACCAGCAATTAAAAAAAAAAAATCAAACCTACTCCTTATGTTAGGAGGTTTGAAACCCATTAGCAACAGGCTCTCTGTAAAACTGCAAACTGCTCAGAGTTCTTCAACCACACATCATGAAGGGCCTCCCTCTGCCACTTCTGCTGAAAGGCTATTTCCAGCTACAGGCTGCAGCTCTGGCCAAACATGAGAACAGGACAGCATTTGAACAACTTCAAGAAGAAAAATCTTCATCCCACCATCGCCGAAACTTCCCACTCATCTGGTTTGAGGTGCCAGACCGACACGAGCCTTATTGCTGTTTCAAACTGGCCAAACTTTCCTAGCAAAGGGAGGCACAGCCACGCAAGCTTTACTGGCTCCATCAATAACCGTGAGATTCCTCAGACCCCTGATCCCTAGGAGCACAAAACCCTCTGCTGGCTGCTCCTCCAGAGGGTCAGCAGGGCAGTGCGAGGGCTCTGGGGGGTGAGGTGACCCCTCCGGAGCACAGAACCCCTGCCTGGGAGAGCAGGACATGTCAACACGAGGAAACACTTCGGGCTTTGCTGGTCCGTTCCGGTAAGTCGAGCTGCTCGGGAGCTGAACCCAAGGAGGAACCTGCCGGGAATAACTTGATTTGGCTTGAAAACAGAGAAGCGGGGAGCAACGCCGCTGCCACACAGGGCCCGAG